CAAGAGAATACTATAATACAAGGATCACATAATCTATGCAATTTACATGATTGGAACATGCCAATTAACATGGTAGGAAGTATACTCGGATACAACTTAACAAGAATTACATTATTAATGCAATTAACATGATTAGAGCATTCCAATTAACACGAAAAGAAGTAATACACGAAATCATGAACAAGGCATAATATTTATGCAATTAAACAAGGATAGAACATTCCATGAAACACGAAAGAGTTATACATGAATCAAGAACAAGGCATAATATCTATGCAAGTAAACAAGATTGGAGCATTTCACATACACGACAAGTTTAAATCTTCAAGGAATAGCAACTTGAAATTTAAAGAGTGAAATCGACCAATGTGGAAACTCGGATATCGCCCGGATTAAAACCGTACTCTTGAGATCACTTTAAGGCTACTAACCCATGGGTACCTTTCCCCTAGTGGGCACTATAGTGTAGGAAGACATTCCCCCATACTAGAACCATATCCTAGCCATGTCAATTCTTGATTGATATCCCAAGTCCCAAAATCAACAAGTTGTGCAAGTCAAGATTGTATCAAATACGAGAAATACATTAACCACGTTTCATGCACAACCAATATTTTGGAACATAAAAGTCATACCCTAAGTTCATCAACATTAATGGCATGTGAAATATCAAGAAAACATAGTGTGCATCTATATAGATTAGAACCAGGATATATAGCAAAAGAAATCCATTGAAGTAGATATACCACAAGTATAAGATACATGATTCAATTACTTATTAAACAACACATGTGTAGTTAAATCATTCCAAGACAAATGTGCATGTTCATTAAGTACATTAATGAAGCTAAGATACAAGGAGTCACGATGCTTGATAAAAAGATGGAAGTACATGAAATACAAGTCTAATTCATGAGTTTAACTCGAGTTCAATATCAAAGCATGATTAACTCGATGGAAGCATATAAGGTAATTTAATCTATTTAAGGGATTAAATTGTCAAGATTACAAGGCAAGTCAAGGGTCACGTCAAAAGCAAGTTCAATGTCAAGTTACAAGTTCATTTCATACAAGACACGACCATGTGAATTTAATTCCATACAAAGGAAATAATTAAATATAAGTTTCAAAACTTAGCCGGTTATTCTCAAATTGATACACGTGAGGGAACTTGTTAAGAAAATCATAAATATTAAGTTAGAGACTTAAACATGCTCATAGAACCATTGAATAGATTTTAATTAATTCATTTAATTAAAATCTCTAGATTTTAAAATTCATCCGAATGATCTCAATTTAATAGATGTTATACAACTTGTCAAGACTTGATTTAAAAGCATGATACAAGTGAATTCCATGCAATGTACGGCCATGAGTATTAAACTTTAATACTAGAAAAATAATAATTGAAAGGTTTCAAAACCTAATCAACTATTTTGGATTAAATATATGTTAAACTACATAGCATGCATACCGAGAATATCAAGCCAGAATTCCAATGGAGTGAATAGTACACTCGGAATAAATTAATTAATCAAATTAATTAAATATTACTAGATTTCAAAACGTCTCCGATTACTCTCAAGTTCACCTATGTTGAAGAGCATACATTGATTTCAAGCTAGTTAAGGCCACATGATTTAATATTTTATTCAAGATAAATATTAAATAAAATCTTCGTTACTTGTTCAAATGATCTAGATTTAATATATGTCATTCAACATATCAAGGGGTAATATTCTATTATGCCTCATTTTAAATAAAGCTATGAACAATCGGGAAAATCAAATCTCATACTAGAAAATAAATAATCAAAAGTTCTAGATTTAATATCCTAGCATGAAAACAAGTTGTATGCATCACAAACATGCAATATAACAAAAAAATAAATTATAACACCACCTACCTCAATTTGAGATGAAAATCTCAAAGGACCACCGAAACAAAAGTGCTCCGAATCAGACAATACCAAAGGGTTTTGTCGGGCACAACATGTAGAATAAGAATCCGAAGGAAGCCCCACAAAAATCACAACTTGACTTCAAACCCGAACTCAAGAAATGGTCAGAAATGGATTCTAATAAGGGTGAAAGATGCACGTCGTCAAAATAAGCATTAAAAACGAAGGCACTACGATGTTTCACTCGAGGGAAGTGGCCGGAAAAAAAAAAAAAAAAAAAGCATGGAAGCCCCTTGGCAACCATAGCTTCTGGCCAAGAGAGAGAAGAAAATCTGACTTTTTCTCTTTAAGTCCCCTATTTATAGAAAATCTCAAAAAGTGCCTCGTAAGGGTCCTACCGGGTCCAGAAAAGCAGAATTTGGGCAAACATGTTCAAACGGGAAAACTCCATGAACGAAAAAGATTAAAAATGAGAGAACATGAACAAAAGAAGAAACAGCGTCGAAAACCGAGTCCCGAACAGAGAGATATACCCCGAACAATTTTAGTGGCAACCGGGGTCAGAAACTCTGAAACTGGAGAAAAATGAATAGAACGGAATTCTTAGAGTACATGACTCAACAAAATGTGAAAATGAATCCCGTACAAGGATCCAGGCTCCAGACGAGGTATTTTTCCAATAACTTTCGTTTATTGCACAATGGTCCCTCCAAAAAGTAAAAACTGCACTAATGCCTAAAAATGAAAATATCTTCCAAAATATTTTCTTAAAAACCCCTGAAATAAAATATATTTAGAAGATATTTATGAAAAACACCCCAAGAAAAGAAAATAATTCCAAAGAACTATGCATCCATGCCCCTATGGACACCGGGAGCAACCAGCGTACTTTCTTATAAAAGTAAAGATTCGTATTTCATGGAAACTACTTAGAATGAAGAAATGTGAAGTCAAAAACTAACTCTGAGCACGAAAAGTGAGGTTATGTCAACAAAGTGACAAACGAAGAAAAGACAGAATAGGGAAAATGACAAAAAGTGAAAATGTGGAAATGACTTGGTCCTTAAAGGAAGTTGTCAATCCACAGAAAAGAGTCTCAGAAATCATTTCCAAGCACTCGAGATGACACTATATGATGAGAAACAGCACTTAGAAAAGAAAATTAAATGGAAAAAATTTATCCATAAAATTTCAAGAAAAAGGAAAGGAAGGAAAATGACCGAGTCATTACACCTCGAATCTCTCACCATACAAGTAATGTCTCCAACATTTCAAGGCAATTACAACTGCCGCTAACTCTAAATCATGAGTAGGGTAGTTAAGCTCGTGAGTCTTCAACTGTCGAGACCCATAAGTCACTACTCTACCATCATTCATCAACACACATCCCAAACCATCACGTGAAGCATCACAATAGATAACATAACCCAAGCCACGCTCAGGTATCACCAACATTGGAGCTATAGTCAATCTTGTCTTCAGCACTTGAAAAGATGACTCACAGGCTTCATTCCACACAAACTTGATTCCCTTTCGGGTCAATCGGGTCATAGAAGCTGCCAAACTGGAGAAATCTTTCACAAATCTCCGATAGTAGCCCGCTAAACCAAGGAAACTCCGGATCTCAAACACATTCTTGGGTTACTCCCAATTCAAAACAGCCTCAATCTTTGATGGATCAACTGACACTCCACCTTTCGAAACAACGTGTCCCAAAAACTTCATCTCTTGTAGCCAAAACTCACACTTCTCATATTTAGCATACAGTCGGTGTTCCCACAAAATTTGTAAAACAATACTTAAATGGACCTCATGCTCCTCTCGAGATCGTGAATACACAAGAATTTAATCCATGAAAACTACCATAAACTGGTCCAGATAATTGTGAAAGACGTGGTTCATCAAGTCCATGAATGCTGCTGGCGTATTAGTTAAGCCAAATGGCATAACTAGGAACTCATAATGTCCATACCGAGTACGAAATGCCGTCTTTGGGATATCCTCATCCCTAACCTGAAAACTAATAGTAGCCTGACCTTAAGTCAATCTTTGAGAAACAACTGGCTCCCCTCAACTGATCGAACAAATCATCTATCATTGGCAAAGGATACTTATTCTTGATGGTGGCACGATTCAACTTCCTGTAATCAATGCACAACCTCAAATAACCATCTTTCTTCTTAGCAAACAAGACCGGTACACCCCACGGTGACACACTCGGTCAGATGAAACCTTTCATCCTCAAATCATCAAGCTGCCTTTTTAATTCTTCCAATTCAATTGGTGCCATACGATACGGTGCCATAAAAATTGGCGCGGTACCTGGCATCAAATCAATAGAGAACTCCACTTCTCGGTGTGGAGGCAACTCTGTCAAATCCTCCGGAAACATATCCAGAAAATCATAAACAACTGCAGGATAATCTTCTTCCATAACGTCATCTTCTTTGGCTATAAGGCTAGCCAAGAAGTAATCACCATGACCCCGTCCACGAACTCTATAAAATGATGAAATGTGGGAATCACTCCGATCTCCCATGAAAAAGAAACAATCTCCCTCAGGACTGCAAACTGTAACTCTTCCTCTGAAACAGTCGATCGTGGCACGAAAGAAAGCTAACCAATCCATCCCGAGGATGACATCAAAGCTAGTCATCTCGAGGAGGATAAGGTCAAACACAAAAGTCCGCCTGACTATCACAATGGAACAATCCCGAATAACTCAGCTCAACGACACTAAAACCCCAACTGGCGTATCAACACACAGCGCCTGATCCATGAAACTAACCTCTAACCCCGATGCAAGTGCAAATGATGATGAAATGAAGGAATGAGATGCACCAGAGTCAAAAAGAATGCAGGCCCAAGAACCAAACACTGGAAAGATACCTCAAAGAACTGACAGTCCAGAAGAGGTATCAGCCGGTGCAAGTGCAAATACACGTCCCTGTGGTGTATGAGCTTGAGAACTGCCACCCTGAATATTAGACTGCTGTGCTGGCACAGTAGGAGTATCCCTCCTAACGGATCGTGAACCCTGAGAAGACAGAATAGGCTGTGATGGTAGCGGTGGTCTAAAACCTAACTGAACTGTAGCTGACTATGACAGCATCTGTCGTGACCCTCTGCTACTATCAGTGCCTATTCCCTGACTAGGACAGTCACGAATCAAGTGACCCTGCTGGCCACACCCATAGCAATCCTTTGGAGCTGAAGAAACTGAAAACGATTTCAGGGGACAACTGGACTTATAATGCCCTGGCTGCTGACACTGGAAACATATGACTCCACTCTTATCAGACCCCGCTAGCATTGGAGTGGTAGGAGCGGATTGTACAGATTGTTGCCCCTGAAACTGAGATGATCCACTCTTGTTCTTTTTCCATGAAGATCCTTCTGAAGATGGCCTTGCACCTCTCTTTTGCTTCCACTGCTCCCTTCTTGCATCCTTATCTTTAATATCAGTCTCAAGCGTCAAGGCCCTCTCCACTGCCTCAGAATAAACTTTGATAAACTATGCCGTTATCAATGGCCTCATTCTATCATTAAGACCGAAAACAAATTTTCGAGTTTTGTCAACTTTATCTCTTACCATTTCCGGAGCAAAGCGAGAAAATGAAGTGAACTTGTTCTCATACTCTACCACTGACATGTTGCCTTGGATTAGGCCAAGAAACTGGTCTTTTAACTCCCATCTTTTAGAAAATGGAAAATACTTTTCATAGAATAGTTCCTTAAACTTATCCTAACTCATTTCCTCCACCTTATAGCGATTCGTAACCGTCTTCCACCAGAGCTTAGCATCCTTAGTAAAATTGTAAGTTGCTAGGATGATCTTCAAATGATCCTCTGTCACATCCATTGAGGTCAATTGAGTTTCAACTTGATCCATGTAGTCGTCTGCTACCATTGGATCCACACCACCCTCAAATATAACCGACATCAACTGAGAAAATCCCTTAATGATCTTGAGACGCTTCTGAGCTGGCATCTCCTTAACTTGAACTGTAGGTTATGGTGCCGACTGCGATTGAGCAGCAATCGTTGCCCTCACGGCACTTTGCAACAAACGATTCAACTCCAATGCCACAGAACCTTCACCCACTTTTAGGGGTGCTTCAACATTATCCCTCCTTATAGGGACAACTCTCGGGGGAATCAAGGCCCTAAGAAGTATGTCCTCATCATTTAGCTCCTCCGGATTGGAGCCGGAACTCTCGCCAACATCGCCCCTAGTCGGCCTAGGGCCAACTTCCCTTTGTTCCTCACGCCATGACATCGTGCTATAAAATGAGAAAACGGTTCAATGACAAAACACTAAGGTTCACTATGGATGACTCAACGTGAAGTGATGTTGTACCAACACTTATCATGCAAAACTAGGCAAGAAGCACTCTAACATAGCATGTAAGCACGTAAACACATAGACACTTAAGCATGCTTGTTCAAGTAATAAGCAAGTAGCAAATAGTCACATAAACAACACAAATAACATCCCATACAATCTGATGTAGGCCTCTACTCGTCATCCTAAAGGTTTTTGAACCATGGCTCTGATACCATTCTGTAACAACCCAAATCCTCATAGATCCAGATCATTAAATGGGTCCTTACCCGACCCAGAATCATCCAAGGGTAATACGGTCCTTTTACGTTAAATTCAACTATCAAGGTCCAAAAGAGGCAAGATGGTAATTTGCTACAATTCAATAATTTGAGACTCAAGGGCATAATAGTCATTTACTTGTATCACACCATGATTAAAATAAGGTCCGGGACAACATAGTCTTTTCGGTGGTTAAAATATATTTATTGTACTTTGATTAGGCCATAAGGTAAATACTCATAACATCAATTGGGTGCCAAAGTGCAATTAGGAAAATTAAAAGAAGAATGTTTATGGAACAAGAACCGGTCGACGTATATACATTATACGTTAGCTAGTTTGGGTTATGAACAATGGAAAAACCCACTGTCGAGATACCGGTCGACGTGTGGGAAGCTACACGTCGACTGGTTTGGAACGTGCATAGTGAAAAGCTTACTGTCAGGATACCGGTCGACGCGTGGGAAGCTACACGTCGACTGGTTCACGTAACTCGGTTGACGTTTGGAATTTTACGTCGACTGGTTTGGGTAATCTTCGCTCACTGTCCAAGAAATTAAGATACATCAACGTGGGTAACAAACCACCCATGCCACTACACTCATATACATATCAAAATACATTTTAACATCTAATTACAATAACAATAACCACGTTATAACGTAATTTGCCACACATTAACAAAATACACTACAGGATAAAATGTTAGTAAAGTTTAATTACATTACCCCACTGGCCATGTGCATGATAAATCCAAATATTTTACATGTTGCAAAAGTAATACATCGTAAGTCAACATCTTTACAAAATAAGTTCAAGCTCTACAAAAATACATCCAAAATGCTCCCTAAGTGCTCTCAAGCATGAGGTGGATTATCATCCGCCAACTCCTTGCCATGTCCTGAAAAATGTAAAGTGTAGTGGGGTGAGCAAAAGCTCAGTAGGTGGCACTTAAGACACGCCTCTTGTGTCCCCGTGAACCCACAACAAAGAATAGAATAATAGGAATGAGAATCATACCATATCGGGATATTACAACATACTAATCAACCTCAAGTGTAAACAATGTAATTCAATAGAATGCAATGCATGCCGACGTCACTCCCCATTTTCACTTTTAAACCGTCGCTTTCAAACTGTTAATATAACCCGCCCTTTGGTGATCCCGCAGCGACATGAGAGAAGGATTGGCTAGTGTCCCTAACCCTTGGTACCCCTGCGGCGTCATTATGGGGCCCAGCTAGCTGAACCACGCTAGGGCAATCTCCCTAGTTCCCTCTAGGCTATATTAACACTCCGGCTCTTTGGTACCCCCGCGGCGACCGGGTTTTCATAAAACAAGTTCATCAAAACAATTTCCCAAAATTCCCCCTTTCATTTCAAAATCGTTTCTCCCATTTCATGCCCAATGCCAATGTATGGATGCTTCAATGCCATGTACATAATCATCATCTCATAACTAGTTCAAATTTAGTCATCAAGGCATACATTCACAAGAATTTTCTAAGAAGAATACAACATGCTTTTATACAATAGAAATCTAGCATGATAAACGTATAAATTCAATGCTTAGGCATGTTCTTCACTTAATTCATGTAATACACATAGTCACAAACTTAACACATTGTCCACAACAACTAAATAATTGGCTAGATACTACCCAAATTAAGCACGTTAAACAATCATTTATGGGAAATTAATTCACAAAAGCACAAGAACATCATGGATTAAGGACCCCTACCTCAAGTTTGTGCAAAACCCTCAAAATAGTTTCCAAATTTCGAAATCCCTATGGAGGCCCAAGGCTGAAATTGTTGGTACTCACGCGTAGAGCTCGTCGTGCTCTCCGTTTTGCCTCAAATGGCACTTAAAAATTCCAAGTATTGAAGTTGGAATCAAAGCTTGAAGTTTGAAAATCAAAAGAAGAAGAAAAGGAGAAGAAAATGGGAGGAGGAGAGGGATTACGGGGAGAGAGAAAGTGAGAGACCAAAATGGTCTCTAGCCTCACATATAAGTTAGTGGTGGGTCCCACCACTCCCATTTTCATTTTCTCTTTTTCTTTTCATTTAATTCTACACCACACATGTACATATAATACACCACCATAGGAATGCTACATAAACTAAAATGTATGAAATGCAAATGGACTCAACTAAATCCCGTACGAAAAACGCGAAAAGACAGAAATACCATCGCGGCGATGAAATTCCAAAAAAATGAAAAATGTGAAAAATTAGAAACATCACATGTAGAGCCTTCGAAATGAACCTAACACCATTTGAACACATTGTAGTAGTTTTTTATTTTTGCAACAGAAGCGTCGGTCGGCTGATGGAGCTCCATTAGTCGGCTGACACATGCTCGAGGGTCCATTCCAGTAGCCTTTTTGTGAAAAATGGCATTTCGGTCAGCTGACCATGGGGGTTCGGCCAGCTGATGATGCACTTTCAGTCGGCTGACCCTTGCCTTTGGTCGACTGATCCTCCCTGGGAGCATTCTCTGCATCTTTTCCTTGGACAACTTTGTGGTTCCAACTTTAAGGGATCATATCTCTCTCGTTTCTAATCCAAATTGGTTCATTCTCAGGTCTAAGTTCAAGAGCTTGAAGTTAGCTCTCCAATGGTACCAACCACTCATCAAAACTCCACCTATAATGAGAGTTATTCCAGTTCCATTGAGATAGGGTCGTGGTAACTCTTAAACGGAGAAAGCCACTTTGTTTTAAATTCATAACTTTTCCGTCCGGACTCCGAATCAGGCGATTCTTGAGTCTAACTATGTTCATTTTTTGTTGTCTTTCCAATGGTGTGCACGGTGGCATCCATTTCAGTGTGAAATGACCATTTTGCCCTTGGTTCATTTCTTCTTGAGTTAGGCATTCTTGCTTCATTTGCTTGGCTCATTTGAGTTTAGTGGCTTTATGGGGAGTCACTTTGGCGTCTTAGAGATAACGTACATCTCTAGAGGCCCTTTTTACTTCTTTTGCTTCCGCATCTTAGATCCGGTTCGGGTCATCACAGAACACGTTGGGTTAAAAAATCCAGGGTCATTACAAGAGAGATGGTGGCAGCCCATAGCTGCCATGGAATCCAGCCAAGAGAGGGGAGAGAGAGAAAGAAATCTAATTTTTCAATTTAAGACCCCCTATTTATAGAACAACTCAAAAAGTGCCCCGAACGGGCCCTACTGAGTCCGGAGAAGTAAAATTCGAGCATACGCGCTCAAACGGCAAAACTTCGTGAACGAAAAAGAATCAAAATGAGAAAATATGAACAACGGAAGAAAATGCGTTGAAAACCATGTCACGAGCAGAAAGTTATGCTCCGAACAAATTCATTGGCAATCGGGGCCAAAAACCCTGAAACTGGGGAAAAATGATTAGAAGGAAATTCTAAGAGTACACGACTCGACGAAAAGTGAAAATGAATACCGTAAGAGGATCCAGGCTCAAAACGAGGCATTTTTGTAATAACTTTCATTAATTGCACAATGGCCCCTACAAAAAGTGATAACTGCACTAATGACCCAGAATGAAAATATCTTCCAAAAATATTTTCTTAAAAACTCCTAAAATAAAATATCTTTATATCTTTTGAAAAACACCGCAAGAAAAGAAAATATTTATGAAGAACTATACATCCATGCCCCTGTAGACACCGGAAGTAACCAGAGTACTTTTCTACAAAACTGAAGATACGTATTTCATGGAAACTATTTAGAATGAAGATACATGAAGTCAAAAACTAACTCCGAATACAAAAAGTGAGGTTGTACCAAAAAGTGACAAATGGGGAAAAAGACAAAAAGTGAATAGTGTCGAAAAAAAATGAAAATGTGGAAATGACGCAGTCCTTTATGGAAGTTGTCAATCCAAAGGAAAGAGTCTCAGAAACCATTCTCGAACACTTGAGATAACACTAAGTGACAAGAAATCGAATTCAGAAAGGAAAAGATAACGGAAAAAAAAAAAAATATCTGTAAAATCTGATAAAAAGAAAAGAAAGGAAAATGACCGGATCATTACAAACTCAACATTTGACATTTTTGAAATTCAACCCGTCCCAATCCGCCCATTGTCACCCCTACCTAAGGCAATTAGTATTGTCCACCTTGAAAGGATTTTAGAAAATTATGAAAGTAAATATATAATTTTGAAAAATGTTCCAATGGAACAAGCAGATGCTCCTTGGCATTGGAAGCAAAGTGATCAGTTTCAAGGGATTAATTCAGCAAAATGAAATAACTGAAAAAATTTCCCAACATTGATGTAATATTATAGAATTGTACTGAGAGGGGAAAAATACCCATTAGTGGTGGACACTTGTAACAGGCCCAAGAAATGGGCCGAACCACTTGTAACAGGCCCTAGAAATGGGCACCCAGCCCAACCAAAGTATCTCCCACATGGATCAAGCCAACAAACAAATGAGGAAGGCCCATCAACCCAGAATTGGGGGCAGAAAGGGAAAGAAATTCCTGCACACCCAGCATTAGGGTAGCACAGTAGTGCTTTAAATAGAAAGAGACACAAGTAAAGGGCCGGGGTGGTTGGATGTATTGTGTGGAAACTTTTCTTATTGAGGCAGTGGAAAAATTCTGTACCTACACAGTAATATATAAAAATAAAAAATAATAAGAAAAAAATAAAAATAAAAATAAAAATCTATTCCAAGTTGACTGCATTTAAGTACCTATTATGCCATCCGTTATGCCTATGTATCAAAACCGATCTAAAACGTCATAACATAGTATCACAACAGATTAAGTTTTGAAAGGATTCATGTTCATTTTGGTCATGATACAGTTCTACGTCAATTGTCAAGTAACTTGACCAAATCCTCCTATGTTCGGCTTGGGACCGACTTTATAAAAAACAGATTCAACCTTTGATATTACTTAAATTCAAATTTATATCCTCACATTTGTTAACCTAATCGAAATTTTGCCAAATGATCGATGAAACTCACAAATAGGACAAAGGGTATAAGAGAACAAATTTTTTTCTAAATTGTTAATTACAAGAATAAGATATTACTTTTTTGAACAGTTGATGAAGCTCCTCAAAATCCCAAACCATTTCCAACTACTAGAAAAAACTAATTAGATCTGGGGAGTTATCTTTCTTATTCTGCATATGAAGGAGTGGAAGAGACAAAGATGCTGCAAAAGGGTCTTCCTTTACTTTCGGTTTCTCGGTATCAGAAGAACTGGTTGATCCATTGATCTTTATCAAATCTTCATCAAATACCTCCCATTTATCTGTGATTATTGTCTGTAAAACACCCTTTGAGTCCTTCCCTTCATTGAGTACACTCTGGTCATGAATATTACTCTCTCTCACAGCAGCCTCGGTTTTTTCCTGATCTTCTGGTACCAACTTACCCTCACTGCAGCTTTTCATCGAAACTGATCCATTAATTATCCGCTCGAGTTCTCGAATATCTTCTTCAGGTACTCGATCAACTTTTGGACATTCGGATGCACTGAGCACGCCATTCTCTCGACAAAACTCGAAGTACAAAGAGAGTTCATCACCCTGCATGGTTGCTTTGTGCAAGACCTCAAGTGCCATAGTGGCTTCAGCCTTTCCAGCCGAGCAAACCTTCAATAAAACCCTAGCAATCCCATTACATATCCTGCTATAAATGTCAAAAACCTCAATGACAATGCAGTCCATGGCTTCAAGAATAAGACCTAAATTCATTCCATCCGCCTCGGGCTTTACCTGAAGCAACATATCAAGCAAACCCTGCATTTTTTGCAGCTTCACAAGCTCCCTCATTATGGGTTGTTGCTCTTGGGTTTTTTCTTTGATTCGCACAATACGTTCCTGCATTTCCATGAACAACAAGGAGGATTTCTGATCAAGAAAGGCATAGTAAGCGCGAACGAACACATTGTAACCCCATGCTTTCGCGGGGTTCAAGTGTCCGTCCGTGAAGCTTGATAGGTTGAATGGCAAGCGTCCGATCTTTTGTATATCTGGAATTCTACAACAAAAAACACCATGCATGAGCATCAAACCCTTTAGGGCAACCACCCAACTCCGAGTCTTTTCGATACGAACGGTGATGGACCACACGACCGGTCTAAGATTGTTTGGAGATGTTCGTACCCATGTGAAGACTCTCTGGGCATTCCGATAATCAATGTAGGACTCGTCGTGGCTGGTGGCCTTGATCACCGCAGCATCAAAGTCCGGGATCCGGAGGTCCGTTCGCTTTGATAGGGAGGCGATACAAACGCTGTTCCAGTCCTTCAAGGTCTCGGAAGCCCTTTTCCAGAGCCTCATCTTGGGTTCAATGGCTTCCCTATCTCTGTCTTTCTATCTCTCTCCTGCTGTTCTATATTTTTTGTGACTCAGGAGGGGCTTTAATTTGATGATGTTTGTTCAACTTGTTTTGCGCTTCTTTCTTTTCGACATCTCAGCAGTCAACATTTCAACGTGTGAAATGACTAATAAAGTCTCTACCATAACCCAACCATTGCCAGCCAATATACGAAAAATTACATGCTTAATTGATACAAATTGTAATGTACTTCGTTGTTCGATTTCTTAATTTAGTAATTATCTGTGTGTATAGTCTGTTCGTTTGTTAGAAATTAGTTCAGTTGACTTTGTCAAAGTCTTTGTTGAGTCTATTAAATTCAATTCAATTATGCGGCAAGACTTTGACTACGTATTTGACTGTTGGCACAATCCCGTTGGTTCAAGTATTCAAATAGTGTTCGAGTCTTTTGACATAAAACAATAAGACTTTGACTACGTGCCACCTCATTGTGGATTAGTCCAATTTGATATTGTGTGACATTTTGGCAGTAGTGATTTTGGCCGCTATGTATCTATAGCCTAAACAATGAAATGGATTTTCAACTAGCACAGAACTAAGGCTATATTTGGTACAGTAAAAAAAAAAAAAATTATAAGATTAATTAGAATAAAAAAAAGAAATGAAAGCAGATGATATTTTTAACCACTTATCTTATTAGGAAGAATGAAAGCAAATGATATTTTTAATCTTATCTTATTTGGTTGATTAATAAAGGAAAAGAAAAGAAATAATGGGAAAAGAAAAGAAATAATATTGCGTTTGGTGTACAGAAATAGAATGGAATACAAGTGGGAATGGAATGGAATGACCATTCTCATTCTATTGTTTGGTTCTATTGTTTGATTGTAAATATGAAATATATAGGAACGTAAAAATGATAATCATTTTAGTGTTTGGTTGGATCAATTTAAAATTTAGAATGGAATAAATTTCAAATTGAGTTCTCCAAAATATCCATTTTACTAACAAATAAATTAAATTAACAAAATGACATTCTTCTATAATTTTTTAAAAATAAATAGTGGTAGTAGCGATGGTCGATGGTGATGACGATGGAGGTGGAGGTGGAAAGTGGTAGTGGTGGAAGGAGATAGCGATGGAAGGTGGTGGCAGTGGCGGTAATGATGGAAGGTAATGGTGGTGGAAGGCATTAGCTATGGTGGTGGTGGTGGTGGAAGGTGGTGAAGGTGGAGAAAGGTGGTGGCGGTGGTGGATGGTAGCAGTGGTGGAAGGGTGTGGCGGCAGTGGTGGTGGAAGGTCGTGGCTGTGGTGAAAGACAGTGCTGGTAGTGGCGGTGGTTGTGGCAATGGTGAAAGGTGATGGCAGTAGAGGTGGCGGTGGTGGTGGCAACAAAGGAAGTCGGTGGCGGTGACGGAAAACGGTGTGCAGTGGTGAAAGTTGGTGGTGGTGCATAACAGTGGTAGCGGTGGTGGAAGACGGTGGTGGTGGTGAAAGGCAGAAGTGGTTGCGGTGGGAGAAAGTAGTGGTTTTTAGACTTAAAACATGGGGTTTTTTAAGAAGTTAATTTTTTAAAAAAATTTACTTGGGAATGGAATGGTCATTCCATAAGTTTAGCTGTGGAATGACTTTTCATTCCAGGAATGGATTTTCATTGCAATGGAATGGTCATTCCCACTTTAAATTGCATATCAAACAAATGAATGGTTGGCATGGGCATTCCATTCCATTCCTTCCTCCACACTAAACGTAGCATGATAGTAATCATATTTTGGAAAAAGGAAAAAAAAAAATGTTTGGGAAAAGAAAAAAATTAAACTATTTTAATGAATTTTCTATCATATCATTTTTCATAGATTTTGTCTTTTGTAAAAATAAGGACAAATTTAACATTAACAAAGTTTTATTAAAAATACTAGCATGTATTAACAAAGTTTCATTAAAAATACTACCATGAATCATTAAAACCAACACATCAAATCCCTTCATTTCCTTTCTTTTCCTTTAAAAAAATTCATACCAAATATTATATTTGGTTTCCCTCCATTACCTTTTTTTTCCATTACCCTCCAACCAAATTGAGCCTAAGTTTTACCAACTGTTTTTATATATTTTCTTCTTCAAATAGTGTTTGTTTTTTCATGGCAAGAATGTTAGGAATTAATGGTTAGAGAGGAGGGGGAGGGTGCAAAACTTGAATACGGACTCATACACAGGAGGAGAAATTCAACCATTTGGGCAACACGACACTTGCTTCTTGAAATACTGTTGAGTATGTTGAAATGGAATTTTCAACTAGCACAGAACTATTTATTTATCCATTAAACAAATTAAGGCTTTTAGAAGAATCGTATGGATTATATTTCATTTAACGATGCCATAAACAAATGAGCATATATATATATATATATTGTCCTCATTGACATATTTATGTATAAAAAATGAAAGAAAAATGATTTGTTGAGATATAATATCATATCATAACAATCTATTTAATTTTATTTTGATTTAATTATTTGACTTAGATTTTTGGTTTAACAACATATTTCATATGTAAATTATTGTAAAATAAACTTCACAAAAAATTAAAATAAAATAAAATTGGTAATTTCTAAAAGGGGACAGTGTTTGGATACTTGAATACAAATTTGGTGACTAAGAAATTTACTGCTGATACCTTAGAAGCATAATTTATTGAATTCAAAAGCAGCCTCATTCTTTCAAAGCCGATTTCAGATCTCCAAGTGTGACTCCCTCGCCAATGACTTTTTTACAACATTATCGATATAGACCTCCGTAAATTGGCATATCATGTGATGGAATGTCCAAGCCAAAAGATATAACCAAAAGGTATAACCACCCATTCCCTATTTTTAAGGAAATGAGTAGTTTTAAAAATTAGAAGAGGGATTTTCATCAAATGATTTTGATCCATCTCTAGGAGTTATTTTAATGCATGAAGAAGATGTTGATATATTCATTAGAATTAGTAAACTTACTTAGAGGATTGAGTAAGCATCCAAATAATTCACAAAGGGAATGTTCGATCTTCTTTATGAAGATCACTTTAACTCCTCCTTTCTCATTAGGTCACCACCTTCACCATGGTAATCTTGCCTTTAGGAATCACCTATTTGCCGCCATAAAGACCTTGGATGCATAGCTTGTGTTCTATGTGCGAGCCTCCATGATAGGAACACAAAACCCTAAAATTCTAGGGAGAGAAATATTTATCTTCACACATTAATGATACCCAAAATTTTACTAATAATGCATATCATATATGTATTTATAGTCATACGGTGTGTCAAAAGTAATTCTCAATCTCTACAATTAAAGTGTTATCTCCAATGTAATGTGATAAGTGCTCAAATGTGATGCATTTTAGTACCTAAGTTATGGTATTTTAGTCCATTCATCTATCTTACTTTTCCGTTTTAGTTCTAATATGTGTTTTTGTCTATTTTAGGTTAATAAGGTTCAAATAGGCTAAAAAGAGCCTATTAGCTCATTTTTGGAGTCAAGAAGAAAATCTAGAAAAAAATTGCACTGGATAGCCTTCGATCGATCGAAGGAGTTCCTGATCGATCGAAAGGATATACGATCGATCGAAATGAAGGTGGTGCCAGCTTAGTGGATCAGGTCGCCAGTTGTCAAAATATATTTGCCACGTCAACTTCGATGGATCAAAGTGAGCTTCGATCCATCGAAGCTACTGTTGGCAGTGAGCTGTTCAATTTTCGAGCGCGCCCGAACTCCACCAACTTTTGTAGCTACAAGATTGCACCAATCAAAGGCCTATTTTCTGACTCGTTCACTACTCCAAGAAGCTTGTATATGGGGGGAATTGAACCATTTGTAAAGATCTTAAATTATTATTTTATTTGTACATTGTAATAGTTAGTTTCTCTCTCTAGAAAAGTTAGAGATTAGGGTTAAAAGAAGAGAAGAAGAGTGGAGACACCATGAACACATCTCAAGATCTACACACACTCTCTCTCTAGAATTCAACAAAGAAGAAGAGGAAAAAGATGGAGTCATGTTTAGGGATAGCCCTTGAGGGTTTCAAGATCACATCCACCTCCTCCATGATTGACTAGACTTCTCCTTGGGGCTTGGATAAGCCCCAAGTTTGTAATTTAAACCTCTATCACTTTCATACTTTTTGGGGAATAATATCTTGTGATTAGTGTTTTGACCTTGTGAATTTAATGAATCTTGAATTCTCCTTTGATTTCTATGGTTAAATACTTTCATCTAATTCCCTATGTAATTACATGTTGTCTTATGTGTGATTATTGGGGAATTGATCTCTACACTATTTTCTCTATGTTTGTTGCATGTCTATGTGTGATAAATTAATGATTTAGTGCTGGCTATACATGGTTTTTATTAAATGGGTTTGCCAATTAATTTGATGGGTTATGCTTAAACTTGATGGGTTGTTCTACAATTTAATTCATGCTTGTAATTAGGTAGACAATCTATACTTGATTTGATATTCCATGGCTTATTATTGCAAATTTCATGATTCTCTAGATTGATGTGTGCTATAATTGTTACTAGTTTGATGAGTCATTCTTAGAATTGATGAGTTATTCTACACTTAATTTAATTGTCGGTTAGGTAGACAATTCATACTTAAATTTGATGGTCCATTCTTAATATTGCAATTGGTAGTCGCATTTTGTTCACAAGAAGGTTTTCCCCAAATTAGTTGAAAGTGTGTGGTTTGATGAACGAGTTTGGTGGCGATTCCAATGCACCCCAAGACCTCACTTCTCATCTCTTAAAACCCTAGTTTAATTTTAGTTTTATTTTAATTACATTTTCATTAATTGAAGTAATCTAATCACCAACCTAAATCTCTTTGCAATCATTTAAATGTCTAAAGTCGAAGCTAAAATTCTAACACATATAATCTCTTAGGATGATCCCTTCTCACTCATTCTGCATAGTATAGGTGTTAAGTGGTTTATAAATTTAAAGTATGATGCCCACTTGACACTAATTTCT